AAATTGTAAATATTTCAGTCTGAAATATATCTATGAAACAGAAGAAATATAGTATATACTTTTTATATATTTTTAAACAAATGCCATTTGTACTTCTGTTTTCTCTTTGACAAATGCTTCAGAGAAATGGCTACAATGAAAAGAAAGATTTATTCAGCAAAATGGCATGAAAAAAGGCTGAAATCTCCCGCTCATAAACAAACTAGCTAGCAATATTTGTTCACATGGATCTTAAGTCAAATCTGTCTGATCATTGGTGAATAATTTATTTTGGATGATGAGGTGTAAGAAAAATGGTCTGATGATAGATTATCTATGTCATTGTCATAGTTTGATATTTTTTTTATGTAACTAACACAATATTCAGAGTTATATACAGAAGCAAAATTAAACATTTGTAATAGTGCATGATGCATTTATTGTAGATACATTTGAATGATTGTGAATGTTATATTGGTGACCATGTGAACTTTCTATTGATGATCATGTGAACTTTATATTGATAATCATGTGAACTTTATATTTGTGATCATGTGAACTTTATATTGATAATCATGTGAACTTTATATTTGTGATCATGTGAACTTTATATTGATAATCATGTGAACTTTATATTTGTGATCATGTGAACTTTCTATCAATGATCATATGAACTTCATATATGTATAATCATGTGAACTTTATATTGATGATCAATTGAAATTTATATCAGTGATCATGTGAACTTTATATTGATGATCATATAAACTTTATATAATGATGATCATGTGAACTTTATATCTTTATGAGGTACCAGTTATTGTTGATACTGTAGTTGTACAGCATAAATTGACAGACATATTAATTATACTATGCAGACAATAGGATTATTTCCCTAATCCATGAATTTAACCCATTGAAGAGTAATTATATCTTGGAGACAATGGGACTATTTCTCATAAACCTATGGATTTAAACGCCTCAATTAATTATAGCCTGAGACAACTGGACTGTTTCCCAGATGCATGAATTTAATTCATTGAATAGTAATTATAACTGTAAACAATGGAATTGTTTCCCAAATACATGTACATGAATTTAACATGTTGAATACTTGAAAATCAATCAAACTATTTCTCAAAGCCATGAATTTAATCCATTGAACAGTAATTATACCCAGGAGACATGGGACTGCTTCCCAAATCCATGGATGTAATCCATTGAACAGTAATTATACCCTGGAGACAATGGGACTGCTTCCCAAATCCATGAATTTAATCCACTGAACAGTAATTATACACTGGAGACAGTGGGACAGCTTCCCAAATCCATGAATTTAATCCATTGAACAGTAATTATACACTGGAGACAGTGGGACAGCTTCCCAAATCCATGAGTTTAATCCATTGAACAGTAATTATACCCTGGAGACAATGGGACAGCTTCCCAAATCCATGAGTTTAATCCATTAAACAGTAATTATACACTGGAGACAATGGGACAGCTTCCAAAATCCATGAATTTAATCCACTGAACAGTAATTATACCATGGAAACAATAGGATTAATTCCCAAATCCATGAATTTAACCTCATTGACATATAATTTTACCCAGAAACAATAAGACTGTTTCCCAAATCCATTAACATAATATAATTGATGTATAATTACTCCATGGAAACAGTAGGATTATTTCCCAAATCCATGAATTTAATCCATTGAACAGTAATTATACACTGGCAACAATGGGACTGCTTCCCAAATCCATGAATTTAATCCATTGAACAGTAATTATACCCTAGAGACAATGGGACTGCTTCCCAAATCCATGAATTTAACCAACTGAACAGTAATTATACCCTAGAGACAATGGGACTGCTTCCCAAATCCATGAGTTTAATCCATTGAACAGTAATTATACAATGGGAACAATGGAACTACTTCCCAATCCATGAATTTAACATATTGAACAGCAATTATACAATGGGAACAATAAGATTTTGTCTGGAATCTGTGAATTCAATCCATTTACCAGTAAGTATATCATGAAACAATAAGACTGTTTCACAGATCCATGAATATAACCCAATGGATACTTAATTACATCCTGGAAATAATAGCATTATTTACCAAATTTATGTATTTAACTCATTGAATGATAATTATTCATTGGAACCTAAAAGATTCTTTTCTACATGCATGAATGTATATACCAATGAAACTGTTGTTATTTGTAAAACCATGAAAATCTTTAATAATAATAATAATAATAATAATAATAATAATAATAATAATAATAATAATAATAATAATAATAATGTGGATATAGTACAGTACTTGATCTTTAGAAGCTGTAATGTTTTACGGTATTAGATAACACATAAAAACATACACAGCAAAATTGCAAAAATGAACACCATGATATTACCAAAAGAGCTGACAATAATTTTAAAAAATCAAAATAATTAAGTCATTAAGTCTATTTTTGTAGTCAAAACAGTGAGTTTTAAGAGCACTCTTGGATGAAATCACAGTATCCTTGTATCTAAGATCTGTGGGTAATTTGTTCATCTAGCTTGACCCTGCTACACAAACAATGTTGTCCATATTACCAGTGGGAGGAATGAGGATTGGGCTGTTGCAAGACAGCACAAGTCACTAGATCTGCTGTACACATGGGTAAGGTCAGATAGGTATATTGGACTGGAGCCAGTGAATGAAATGTAGCATAGTGAACAGATTTTGATTCTCAATCTAACAGGTAGCCATTGAAGGTTACAGAACCAGGGTGATGTGTACACAGTTCTTCATACTCTCACCCAAGTCGCCATGTTTTGAAATTTCTGTAGTAGGTACTGAGATGAATCAGAAAGAAGTGAATTACCAGTCCAGTCTTGAAAGTAGTAAGGAACACACAAGTGTTTTAGTGGCATCAATCGAAACAAAACTTTGAACAGAGATCATGTAAATAAAGAAAAGTAAATGATTTGACTGTACTTTCAAATATACCCTTTTTAAATCCTTGTAAAAATTGTGTAAATATGGCAGGTGGGTTTGTCATTATTTGTCTTTGTTTATTTTAGGATAAATATGGTTTACAAAAGTACATTTGGTACCAAATAACCCTCACTTTATAGTAGTGCATAACTTTAACAGCAGCAAAGGGTCAAAATTTGACAGACAAATGTTTACTCATTTTTCTCAAAATATTTGACTCCAGATGACATTTGCTATAGTACAACTTTTCATTCATAAAAATTTGGCTTCATAAATATGAATTTGGGACTTGATGACTGGGATATGCTAAAATTATTTTAATTTTTTTAAGCTTTTTTACAGTGAAAATGATAAGACTATTTCCAAAATCAATTAATTATTTTGTAGAACAGTAATTATATTATTGAATCAACCATCAACGGAACTTCCTTCTGCAACCAATACAGATGCTATATTCGTTAATCAGTGTTCACCTAAGAAAACCAATATATGATATAGAACTAAAGAAATGTCCACAGATGTAAATATAAATCTGGTTGATATTCATAAAATGTCCACTAATGACAGTCTTTTATAGACTGTGAATAGCATGATCTATATTTTTCTTATACTGGTGATTTATTCCATGAACTTTTTAATTATGAGAACTGAAACTGGTCTTAGTGTGTCTAAAATTTGGATCAACAATAAAAATACTAACAACTAATGTAAAAAAACTAGAATCTATTTAAAATAATTTCAGATTAAAGATTACATTGTCTAAAGACTTGTGGATTTTAAGACCTGTTTTCCAGCAGATAATGACTTTAAAATAGGATTATTTCACAGAAGATGTAATAGAGAGGTATGCATGTTGACAAGTGTACTATTAAAGTTTGCTGTGAGTATGGGTGCTTGATTTGTTCTCTTTGTTGTTTCATAAAGGTAGGGGAAGTGAGGTGTGTTAGGTAGATTTGCAAGAGTGTCAAATAGCATGTTACATTAAAGGATAAATATCAGCAAAGTTTGTTACTTGATAGTGCATATATCAAGCCATTACTTAAAGCTTTTCTATTAAAAATAAACACCTTTAGAGTCATGTTTAATTCATTTAGTACCAGCCTGGACTTGATAAAGAGAAAAGATCAGAGTTAATACATATGAATTTGCATATTTTATCATTTTCTTTGTACGACATTCATGTTCTGTCTAGGATTTTCCTTTATAGCATGCAATTCGTTCTTCTTCATTTGGCATTCTATTATTTGATGTTTGCTGTTATGTGCCAAATATTGTGAACCAGTTTTGTTAAATTTTATTAAATTTTGTCATGTTGATACCACAAATTAAATTTCTGACTCCAACACTGCAATGGTCACGAAATACATTAATCTAATGTAGCATTGATTCTGGCAGGTGGGAAAGTGGATTATTGTGCCACTGAGCCATATCATTGGTCTGGCTAACAAGATGATGTTGCATATACCCTTGCCCCTAAATCCCCCTCCCTCCTGCATTCTTTAAACTTTACAAAAGTTATTTTTTAAAGCCTCACATTATTAAGTCTCTAAGCTACAAAAGAATTGTTATCATTGCTCTTCCAAAATAGAAAATTGCAACAACATGTGATTTTCACCAGAAGACTGCTTGTTTTGGGTCATTAGTCCTAAATGAAAATGTCACTAACTTGACATGGTGTATAGCCACCACAGCAGCTGACTTGGAAGTCTTGTTATTGGTGAAGAATATCAGAGATTGGGCTGTTCACAGGAGTGTGTGTGTGTGTGTGTGTGTGTGTGTGTGTGTGTGTGTGTAGTTTAGATTTTTAACATAGCTTTAACAAATATTTAGTCATATTGCTACAATGTCTGCTGTGTGACAGTTTATAGTGATATTCAGCATGAGGTATGGTGCCACAGACATGTAGCATGATGTTCCTTCTAGTCACATTATCCTGACACCAGGCTGACCAGTCCTAATACTAACCTCTTAATGCTGAGCACCAAGCTAGGCAGCTGTTAGGATGATTTTTAAAAGTCTTTTTTATAACTTGGTCAGGGTTTGAACCCACGACCTCCCACATTCGAGGCTGATGCTTTACCGCTAGGCTACCGGAGCAGTCTGTTCAAAGGAAGAATTGGTCTTATCTTGAATTTCTGGAATTTATCAGACCCTTTGACAGACTCCTATTAATAATTTCTTTTTGTAGATATTTATGACCTTTTTCTATTTTATTTAATTTTGTAAATTTTGCCATTACAGTGTGTGTGCATGTGCATGCATATGTCCATGTGTATTTAGATAGCTTGAATAATTTGAATAATACTGCTGTGATGTCTGCAGTGTGGCAGTTTATAGCAATGTCTATCACTGGGGCATAATGCAGATGACATGTGGCATCATGTCTCTCTCAGTCACCTTATATCGACAACAGGCCAATGAGTCTTAATGCTAACTTCTTAATGCTGAGTGTACAAATGTACTGTTTGTGAAATTTTTACAATACACCATCATTATATGGTATATTTAATATAGTTCTTGTTATAAGGTGAGCAAGATTGTAGATTCATTATGTAGTAATAAAATTAAACATCATGTACCTCATTTTAAGGTGTTATCATTATATTACGTGATAATGTGGATTCAATGGATAGCATTATGATCAGGGGTATTGTACTGTATTATGAATGACATGAAGAAATTGTATCTTGGGAAGTTAAATTTGTACAGTGCAGACTATATCAACATTTAATTGTTTTACAGTGAAATATATTTAAAAAAATACAAACTATTGATCTTTTGAGATGAATATGTTGATATGTAAATTTCCATGGTGCTAGATCATTAAAAATGTTGATTAAAAATGGACAGTAATGATTCATTTTATCAGCTGCATAGTTATGGACATGTAGTTATGGATGTATAATTATGAAATGTAGTTATGGACATATCGACATAAGTCACCAATCTTTTTTTTAGTACAATTTTTTGAAAGTTATTTGCTTTTTTGAATCTATAGTTATTAGATATGTATACTAGGAAACATGATAGTCCAGTTGGTAGGTATACTAGGAACCATGATAGTCCAGTTGGTAGGTATACTAGGAACCATGATAGTCCAGTTGGTAGGTATACTAGGAACCATGATAGTCCAGTTGGTAGGTACTCTAGGAATCATGATAGTCCAGTTGGTAGGTATACTAGGAATCATGATAGTCCAGTTGGTAGGTATACCAGGAATCATGATAGTCCAGTTGGTAGGTATACTAGGAATCATGATAGTCCAGTTGATAGGTATACTAGGAACCATGATAGTCCAGTTGGTAGGTATACTAGGAACCATGATAGTCCAGTTGGTAGGTATACTAGAAATCATGATAGTCCAGTTGGTAGGTATACTAGGAATCATGATAGTCCAGTTGGTAGGTATACTAGGAACCATGATAGTCCAGTTGATAGGTATACTAGGAACCATGATAGTCTTGTTGGTAGGTACATTAGGAACCATGATAGTCCAGTTGGTAGGTATACCAGGAACCATGATAGTCTAGTTGGTAGGTATACTAGGAACCATGATAGTTCAGTTGGTAGGTATGCCAGGAACTATGATAATCTGGATGGTAGGTATACTAGGAACCGTGATAGTTCAGTTGGTAAGTATACTAGGAACCATGATTATTCAGTTGGTAGGTTTACTAGGAACCATGATAGTTCAGTTGGTAGGTAATCCAACTTGTAATTTAGTGGGTCAGCCTGGTCAGTTTGGTGTTTTAAATGCATTCAACTCTTTCTTTGGTAAGATACTGTTGAGAATTTGTAAAGTGTAGTTAAAATGCACCATACCAACCCCCTTATAATACAGTAATTCTTCTGATGTAGCACATGTCCACATTTTCTGAATTTGTTTAAGTAGGAGATGTGTACATTGTTTCAAAGAAAACTAAATATTACAAAAGTTACTATTTTACAAAAACACTGTCAACAATTTTGGATTTTAAAATTATTTGGTGATTTTATCAAATGTGAAACAGAGCAGCACTGATGAAAGTATAGCTCCTTCATGTATCACTCATTGAGAGTCCAGACAGGTTGGTTGGGCATTGCTGTATTGAGACAAACCCAAGAGTGCCTTTTTATTTGTGGGAAAGGTAAAGTTGGAAAAGAATATAATTTTTATTACTTGGAAAGAATATGAGACATGATGAAACTCAATAATTGATGAATATTTCTTGAAACAAATACCTATGTTGAAATGTGTGACACTTTTAAAAAAAGACTATAAAACAACTATAAATTGGGGAAATTTAATGATTCAGGGTAGAGTCAGAAAAAGAATATCATAATGTTTTTCATTTGTACTTTACATAGTAAAGAGACAATCTAATGTTTAGTTATTATTAAATTATCATTCCCAGTTCAGCAAACTCTTCTGTTTGGCTCACCTGCACTGAAAAATGTATAAAATTTAAATATCTTTGTTGGGTTTCAATGCATCTAATTTGAATATCTTTGTTGGGTTACAATGTTATCTAATTTGAATATATTTTTAATACATATTGATATTTTATGTTGGTGTATTATGTATTGATATTTTATAATGTGCATTAAATTCTGATATTGATGTTGGTATTTTACATATTCATATTTTGGTAGCACTTGTACACTGATGATACTCAAATATACAAGTCAAGCTGCCCAACTGAAGCCGAGGCTATGATCCAAGATGTAGAGAGGTGCATTTCCAATGTGAAGACATGGATGACAAGCTGCAGATGAATGATGATAAAACTGAAGCCATTTTGATGATCATGTAAAGACTTTCTCATTCATATCCATTACCTCAAACAACATGTATCAACAATATCAACATTAAATTCACAAGTACAAAACCTAGCTGTCACACAAGACAGTATACTTTCATTGTGCCACCATGTCATGAACACATGCAAGGCTGCATATGTGTAGATGGGATTCATCAGCTCCACTCACAATTTTCATTTGGTGTGACATGACTAAAACACTTCTGTTCCTTAGACTGGACTATTATAATTCATTTCTGTCAGGGTTGTCTCAGTATCCATTTCTTCTGTGTCATCACAGTATTCATTTCTGTCTGGATCATCACAGTATTCATTTCTGTCTGGATCATCACAGTATTCATTTCTGTCTGGGTCATCAAAGTATTCATTTCTGTCTGGGTTGTTTCAGTATCCATTTCTGTCAGGGTTGTCTCAGTCTCCATTTATTCTGTGTCATCAGAGTATTCATTTCTGTCTGGATCATCACAGTATCCATTTCTGTCTGGGTCATCACAGTATTCATTTCTGTCTGGATTGTGTCAGTATTCATTTCTGTCTGGATCATCACAGTATCCATTTCTGTCTGGGTCATCACAGTATTCATTTCTGTCTAGGTTGTTTCAGTATCCATTTCTGTCTGGGATGTCTTAGTATCCATTTCTGTCTGGGTCATCAAAGTATTCATTTCTGTCTGGATTGTGTCAGTATTCATTTCTGTCTGGATCATCACAGTATCCATTTCTGTCTGGGTCATCACAGTATTCATTTCTGTCTAGGTTGTTTCAGTATCCATTTCTGTCTGGGATGTCTTAGTATCCATTTCTGTCTGGGTCATCAAAGTATTCATTTCTGTCTGGGTCATCACAGTATTCATTTCTGTCTGGGTCATCACAGTATTCATTTCTGTCTGGGTCATCACAGTATTCATTTCTGTCTGGATTGTGTCAGTATTCATTTCTGTCTGGGTTGTCACAGCATTCATTTCTGTATGGGTCATCACAGTATTCATTTCTGTCTGGATTGTGTCAGTATTCATTTCTGTCTGGATCATCTCAGTATTCATTTCTGTCTGGGTCATCACAGTATTCATTTCTGTCTGGATTGTCTCAGTATTCATTTCTGTCTGGATCATCTCAGTATCCATTTCTGTCTGGGTCATTACCCAGTATCCATTTCTGTCTTGGTTGTCTCCACAGGTTTGTCTCAGTATTCATTTTTGTCTGGGTTGTCTCAATTTTCATTTCTGTCGGGGTTGTCTCAGTATCCATTTTTATCTTGGTTGTCTCCATATTCATTTTTGTCTGGGTTCTCTCAGTTTTCATTTCCATCTGGATTGTCTCAGTATCCATATCTGTCTTGGTCATCTCCATATTCATTTCTGTCTTTATTGTCTCACTATTCATTTCTGTCTGGATTGTCTCAGTTTTCATTTCTGTCTGGGTTGTCTTAAAATTAATTTATATCTGGGTTATCTCAGTATTCATTTCTGTCTGGGTTGTTTCAGTATCCATTTCTGTCTAGGTTATCTTAGTATCCATTTCTGTCTGGGTTGTCACAGTATTCATTTCTGTCTAGGTTGTCACAGTATCCATTTATGTCTGGGTTGTCTCAGTATTCATTTCTGTATGGGTTGTCACAGTATCCATTTATGTCTGGGTTGTCACAATATTCATTTCTGTCTGGGTCATCACAGTATTCATTTCTATCTGGGTTGTCACAGTAATTACTACAATAACATCAATAAGTCCAAACCATGGCTGCTTGGATCATCCTTAGACTATGAAGAACTAAGTACACCACCTACAGCACTGTAACCATCACTGGCTACCCAGCACTGTAACCATCACTGGCTACCCAGCACTGTAACCATCACTGGCTACCCAGCACTATAACCATCACCGGCTACCCAGCACTGTAACTATCACTGGCTACCCAGTGCTGTAACCATCACTGGCTACCCAGCACTGTAACCATCACTGGCTACCCAGTGCTGTAACCATCACTGGCTACCCAGCACTGTAACCATCACCAGCTACCCAGCACTGTAACCATCACCGGCTACCCAGCACTGTAACCATCACCAGCTACCCAGCACTGTAACCATCACCAGCTACCCAGCACTGTAACCATCACCGGCTACCCAGCACTGTAACCATCACTGGCTACCCAGCACTGTAACCATCACTGGCTATCCAGCGCTGTAACCATCACTGGCTATCCAGCGCTGTAACCATCTGTAACCCATTCAACTCAGAATCAAACAAAATCTGTTCACTATGCTACATTTCACTGACTGGCTCTAGTCCAATATATTTAACTGACC